TGTTTGCCAAGTACACACCTGTCTCAAGAGGACATGGAACACTTTCTACGTTATGTGTTAGGCCAGAAGACAAATATTAATAAATCTGAAGGGATTGAAGTTATACAGTGTGTTGTCACCATAACAGAATTACGTTTGAAATTATTACCACCATCACTGTCACAAAGGATGAAACAGGAGAACCCCTGTCCTATGCCCAGTTCACCAGAGGACAACCAGAGCAGGCAGGGGTCCCTCTCCTGGGAGCACTCAGTTTTTAAGGCATAAGAATGGCATCCCCAGGACTTCTCTTTACCTCTTCTTGATTTCTGTTCTATGGGATGTGCAACTCAAAAAAAGTTCTGGAGACTTTCCCATTGGTTGATTGTCGGGGCAATGCTGTAAAAATGGAGCATTCACTTGTATTGTCTACAACACAACCTAGGACCTTATTCTGTACAGACCTTCATTGTGGGCTCTGAGCAACACTTCAAGTCCAGTTCATAGTCAGACAAATGCCGGGCAGCATCACTTACTAAGTCAAGGATGTTCTTTGTAGCACTTCTTTAAGAGGTTAGCACTTGACTCTTCCCAGAAGCTTTGGGATGCAAGCAAGATCCCCTCATTTCACAGATGAGAGAACTAAGACATAGGTAGTTGTGTTCCAAATCCATAACGGAGTATGCTAGGCCTGGCATATGTACCCATCCAATTTACCTGCATAGCCTGGGCCTCAAAGCCTGCATGAGAGAGAGACTTTGCTACCTTTGGTTACAGAGTATAGAGTTACAGAGAACTCTGAATGCAAAGAAGCAGGGGCCCCTATAGATGTTTTAAACAGTTATGATGGACAGTTCTTACAATTAAAAAGATGTTTTTGTTTAAAATTTTTTAAATTTTATTGTTTGATGTGTATGGGTGTTTTGCCTACATTGTGTCTGTGCACTACTTGTGTACCCGGTGCCTCTGGAAGCTGGAAGCTGGCATCAGATCCCGTGGAACTGGGGTTACAGATGGTCGTGAGCTGCCATGTGAGTGCTGGGAATCGAACCTGGGTCCTCTTGAAGAGCAGCCAGTGCTCTTAACCATTGTGCTAGCTCTTCAACTCTGTCATGGTTAATTTTATCTGTCATTTGGGCAGGCCATGGAACCTAGATGCTTGGCCAAATATTCTGGATTTTTAAAATGAATGACTATTTAAGCAGATAAACTTTGAGTTTTAAACTTTGAGGGGAGAAAAAGCCTCATCCAGTCGTTTGGAGGCCTTACTAGAGTAAAACCTGACTTCTCTTAAGGTCAGCAGATAGCCCTCATCCTGGACTCACCACACTCCATTTCCTGGGTCCCAAATCTGCAGCCCATCTTTTAGATTTTGGGTTTCCCAGCTTCCATAGAGGCACAAGCCAGTTTCCCACCATGAATCACTTTGTGTGGAGTCCGACACCTCACTGGAACAGTTTCTCTAGAGTAGCCTAGCCAGTACAACATCTCAATGACCTTTAAATGATTTTAATTGACTGGAGCACTCAACTATTTTTGTGTGAGCATTTAATACAGTGAGTGGAGGGTGGGCGAGGAGAGCAGCAGGGGAAGGCAGTTTATGACTCTCCCTCTGTGGGTGATGGACACAGAGGTGGAAGAAAGACCTTGGCAGTGCTATCCTTAGTGTGGTGTGCAGAGGCTAGAACACAGGCCTCCTAGTGCCCAATGGTGTGGAAAGAGAGGCTGAGTCTGGTGTTCAGATCCAACTCCTGAGACTGCACGCACAGAGTGGGTTCCTGATGTAAACAGGCCGCCTGGCCACTGCTGGAGGGAGTGTTAAAACCTCAACCAGACTTAGGCAAGGAGCTCCCTCCTGGAAGACAGGGATGCTTTGCATAGGCTGGGCTTCTTCCATCTTGAGACCCATAAAGGGCCCTCACATCCCAACTGAGTATCTGTGGGTGAAGGCATGGTGCCCCCATGCTGGCTCCTCCTCTAACTCCCTCCCCACCCCCTTTCTCCTCTTAAAGGGTAGCCATCTTTCCCAAACCCTCTCCATTCCACTCACCCCCCACTGAACTGCAGCTGGAAGATGGCTTTTTTTTTTTAAACCATCACTGTACCCTGAATCCTCATAAGGGCCCACTGTGGCCTGTTTGTCGCTAGTTCTGCCCCAGATCCCAGTCCCACCTTACTGTGTGGAGTTCTAGCAGGCATCAGTTAGCAATGTGTGGTGCCACTGGGTTTAAAACAGCAGGGAACTCTGAGTTTCAGAACTACAGCTCTTGGTTGGTGAATGGGATTTTTATGAGGCCGCCACAATCAGTCTTGCATACAGGGTGCTAAAAATTTTTATGGCTGGCTAGGATTCGTTGGAAGCGCCAAGCTGGAACGTGATGGAGTTCCCTATTAGAGAATGTCCCCAGGAAAGCAGGCTTGCATGGTTCCCTGGTACTCGGAGGTGTCAGAGAGCTGGTTTTATGGAAAGCAATTTCCTCAGTAAAGAAAAAATATGCTCCAGAGACAGAGCGATTTCGGCACAGGGGCTCCGCCGCCCCCAGTTTAACCGGCGTCCTTAGCAGGCGGTCCCTGGTGATTGCAGAGACAAATGGGTCCTAAGTATTCTGCTGCCAGCAAACTGCTCCTCTGTATCTTTCTTTAAAATACACACTTTTTTATAAAGATAATGAAAGTTCTCAAAAAAAAAATAAAAAAATAAACCATATTGCAATGACATCATTCACATAACACTAGCCTTAGTATTTTGTTACATATTACACGTATTTTTGACAGAGTTTGAGCATAGCTGTGACATAGCTTTATAACTTTTGCTTAACTTTTTTATGATAAACATTTTGGAGTCATGGGAATCTTTTTGTAGATAGGCCTCATTTTAAGTAACTTTGTAATATTCTGTTAGGTTGATATATGTATGTAAGCTGGTGCTACTGTTTTCTGTATTTTTGGGTTTGGAGCTTGTGTGTGTGTGTGTGTGTATAAATAATGACATCATGAACATCTGGTGATATAAAACTTGCTCACATTTCCTGTGAGTTCCTCGGCATGGAGTTTAAGGCCCAGAATTACTAGGCTCATGGATGCGCTACATTTTACAGTGTCCTGGCATATGTTTTAACTTGCCCTCCATAGAGATGATCAGGAGGCCCTTCTTTCCACCCTCCACGAGGATACCTATGTAGCCACACCTTTGTGGACGCTGTGTTCTTCAGTTCCTAACACATCAGATAATTCACGAAGTACTCGACGCCACCTCACTGTGTCGTGAGTTTTCGGGTTAAAGGCCAGGCTGAGCATTTTGGCCATTTGTGTATCACCTGCCCTTTTTCTGTTATAGCAGAGCCCTTGTACTGCATTGTTTGCTCTAGAAAGGCTTGTCTGCTTGCATTTGTTACAGGAAGATTTTTCACTCATTTGTTAATCCTGGAACATTTCTCCGGTTCGAATCCAGCAGGGAACACACAGGGTTCTAGTGACTCATGGTATCTGTTCCAGGTCCCAGCTTCTGGGGGGTGGAGGGATTGGTAGGATTTGTTAGGTATGTAGGGTACACATGTTGGGGCCTGATTCAATTACAGGTCCTCAACTAAGTACTTCATCGTTCTCATGCTGGAGCCTGTACACCCAGATCCTGGGGACATGAAGACCAACTTACACCCCTCCTTGTAAGCTAACAAATGCTCCTGTGCCTAGAACCCAAGAGGGAAAGAAATGCCATGTGATAAGGGTACAGCCCAACATTTGAGGTTCACATCGGAGCCTGGCTCTTAGGCTACAGGGCCACACAGAGTTGAGGTGGAGACCTTTATATGATATCTTTTATGTGTCAATCACCAGGACAAGGAATTTAAAATATAGCTTTTGCTCTAGAAGAACCCACAGTTATTGGGGAGAAGGCTTTTCAGGGAGTGTGCAGTGTACACACGGCAGTGGGTAACTGGGCCCCTGGTGCTCAGAGGAGACTGGGGGAGAACAGGGTACAAGTCCTCATTTGGCTTATCCTACAGTGATGAAGTGTCCCACCAGGGTACCAGGTGATGAGCAAGCAAGGAAAAGATGGGCAAAAATCCCATCAGAAAGCTCTAGCCCCAGCCCAGTCCACAGTGGCTTGGGAGACAGGCTATAGGCTTCAGAGCCAGGCTCTGCCCCTCATTAACTGGGGATGCTCCTTCCCTCTGGTTCTCAGTTTTCTGATCTCTAGAAGGTTGTTTGTGAAAAATAGATGAAGCACACAGAATGTTTGATAGAAAATTAGTGAGTTCCCATTTCTGTCCTTCCTTACTAAGCTTTTTGGGAATAGCCTCTTTTTTAAAAACTTGCCTGAACAAGCAAAAGTTCAGAAGAAGCCTCACATGGATTCTGCTCTACCCTGCCCCTTAGAGAATGTTCCTTGCCTCTGCCTGGCTGAGCACCATGCAAACTCTGGCTTTCCCTGGGCTCCCAAGTAATCCCCCATTGGAGCTGCAACACTGGCCCTGTCCTGGGTACCTTTGCTCTGCTAAAGAAGAGTCCTAAGACCCAGCTCGGCCTCCGCTTTACCTCTGTGTCTAGGTGTCTGCGTTGGTAGCCTGATTAAGGCCCTCCTAGGCCAGCCCTGCCTTACTTCTGTGAGTCACCTTCTCAAGAAGAACTTTCTGAGGCCCTGGCATATGTGCTTAGATTCCCAAGTGTGGAACACAGGGCCAGTCCCCTGCCTGCACCCGACTGCTGCTGGAGAGAAGCCAGCCTAGCCCTTGCTTGAGCCCCTGTCCAGCTTCTGGAAGACAGCCTAGCCTTCTGCCATCTCCCCTCACTTCTCTGGTGGCTGGGAGGCACTTAGGACCGGAAGTAGGCGTTACTTAGAAGAATTTTCCACTGGGCATTAGCGGAGTCACCAGGTATAACAAAGAGGAGACCATTCCTCATAAAGGGGATTCTAAATATCATCTTAAAAAAACCTTTTCAAAAAAATATCTTTTGACTCCAACTGCCATTGTGATTCAGGAGACCTCATTCTAGTTCCTCTCTCACTCTCCCTTCTTCAGGTGACATCCTTTCGCCTTGGAGGAACCTCTGGACTGTTTTCTGCCCAGGGCCGTGGCAGTATACAGCAGGTGACAACTTGTGTTTGACCAGTCGACCCACTAGACGTATAACTCCCTGATGGGGAGCCCCACCTGGCATTGGAGCCCCTGGCTGTGGAAACCGGTTGTTTTCTGTCTGTAACTTTCCTGGGTGCCACTGCTATGCCTCCCTAATAAGAACAGCTGTGACGTGCTTTCCACAGCCCTTTGGTGGTGTGTTTTACTTCTCTGGGCACACATTTCACTGTGGATTTCTGTTTAAGCTGTATAATTCTGATGAACAGAAATATTACCAGAATATTCTTCTTCACTGACACAGAAAAGTAATAGCATTCTCAGTTTCAAAGACAGCCTTTTACACATTTTGCAAAGAACTTAGAACTAGTCCAAACAGACTAAGCTGCCCCTACAGAATATACACAAAGACCAATTCCCAGGTGTTGTTTATTGCTAAATCAAGGCCAGGCTGTTTACATCAAGACATAGTCCTTGCAGTAGCTCCCTTTCTGCATGTACCCTGATGGCTCAAGGTTCAG